AGTCGCACGGGTCAGGTCAGGTCAGGTAAGGCCAAGTTAAGTAATTGTGCAGCATAGACAAATTGAGCATACATCGTGCAATAGTATGTCAACACCAACCTTTCATTATCTGACCAAAAGGAAACAATCTAATGGACCATAAGTAATTCATTGAACAAGTCGAACAAGTAAAGTGACGACAGCTACAAAACAGCACCAAGATAGGCGAGTCCCCGCCGCCCATCCCCCCGGCCTGTCTCCTCCTCTGCTGCCCATCTCTTGGCATACCCCCGCACCACATTTCCCCTCCCTCCTGCCCCTGCCGCCGACCACTCACGTTGTATCCGACGGGCCGCTCCACCACTGAACAGCTGGCCTCCCACCTGACACGCATCATGAGCGTCAGACCGCGCTGCGTCTGTACGGTGACGTTTTTGGGCGGCGCGTGCGCGTCAAACTTGGTACGGACGCGCCGATCTCTGAGGGCAGCCCGGTACCGTCCGGTCCGACCACAGCTACCAGTAGCAGGTAGTCCTCGCAGGCCATCAGACCCGTTGCCTGGGGGCAGAACAGGCACAGTCAAAGGGGCAGCATGGGATTGGGAAGACTAGCAGACAAGGTAAGCGCGGGACAACCAGGGGGGGGGGGCAGAACAGGCCCCGTCAGAGCGGCGTCCAGAAGGCAGAATACGCACGGTCAGAGCGGTCAACTGGAAACGGAACAGGCGCGGTCAGAGCGGTTAGAGGTCAGACAGATACCTGGGGCCAACAGTCACAAAGTGCGTCACCTACGTCAGAACAGCCACGGACCGCGAGCACGAGCCACTGCAGCACCGGAGAGGGGTAGGGAGTCATGGGAAGATAGCCACCCGTGACAGAGCGCCGTGCGGAGCGCTCCTCTGACAACCCACCTGAGTGGAGGTCTCCACAGTGCGCTGGCGCACGCCGCCCTCATACAGCTGCTCCATCGAGGTGCCCCAGAACACGCCGTACTGAAGCGGCATGGCCGAGCCGCCGGCGGCGCCGGCACTGCCCTCTGTCGGCGGCGGCTGCCAGCTGAGCTTCACCAGTGTGCCGCTATGAGGCGACAGCTCGGCGGTGAAATTGGCCACGGCAGCCAGCTGGCGGCCGCCCGTGGTCGCCACTGTCACGTACTCGGGGCCCGTGAAGCGGCCGCGGTAGCCGCGGGCCACGATCTCGTACCGGGTGCCCGGCGACAGGCCCGTCACTGTCGGCACAGGGAGGGGAGGGGAGGGTCACTATCGGCGAACCGGTCACTGGCAGTGGATGGGGAGGGAGGTAGGTCAAAGGAAGTCGTTGGTAGACACCCCAGGCACGGGACCGTCTGACTTTCACAACAGCAGAGGGCGAGGACTGAGGAGTCTGGATGATGGAGCTAGACGAATACTGAATAGAAGAAAAAGCAAAAAGGTATCAAATTGAAGCTGCATACAACCGAAACAATATAACCAGTCCACACAAAACATAAGTGAAGTGTTGCGAGCTCCTAGGGCGGCGCTCAGGTCATCTTGCCATTCTTAACCCTCTCCCCCTTCTCTGACGACTACATTCATTGGTTGTTTCACTCCACCCCTCCTCCCGTATACCTCCCTCCCGTGCAAGCTGCAGCTGAAACAAATTGTCCCTAGTGCCCCCTTCGTCCCCAAGCTTGCTCCCCCTACTCACACTCCAGCTGATGTGTATCCCCCTCGACTCGCTCCTCTCCTGCGGGCACCAGTCGGTTGTCTGCCGGTCGGTAGGTCACCAGTACTCCCGCAGCCGACGGCAGCGGCTGCCAGCGCACCGTCAGGCCATGTCCGTCCGCAGCCGGCACCGCGCGGAACTCGCTCAGCGGAGCGATCACGGCGTCCGCATCGAACACGACTGACGCAGAGTGGGAGCGCTCGCTCAGCATGGCAGAGTTCTCCGCCTGGACCTGGTGAGACGGGGGGAAAGACGGAGGAGTCAGAAGGTTACAGGAGAGCGCCGTGAGATAGACAGAGGGGTCAGATATGTCACATAAAGACAGTCAAAGCCAGACGGCGGTCTAGCACGATTCAACTCTGATTTCCTTTAATTCCCACCGTTGTCAGTCCTGCCGAGACACCGGAGCACGGTAAGACATTCTCGCCACCCTGTCTGCCAGATTTACCTTCCCTCCAGGGAAAAGCCGGCTCAGTCCGTTCGAGGCTACTGACACAAAGGAGTACTGGAAATCTATCCCACTCACAAAGAAAGTCGACTGCCCGCCACTGTCTTTCAAGGCCACTCACAAAGGAGTACTTATTGCCTCGTTGAAATCCTATCGCACTCACAAAGAAGGAGTACTCGACAACAGTCTGGAAAGTCTATCCCACTCACAAAGAAGGAGTACTCGACGCCCGGCTGGAAGTCGAGCACCACGGTGAAGTTGGTGTGGCGCGTGATGAACATCTGCGGCGGCTGCGGCGGCGTCAGTGACAGCCGGTAGTTGAGCAGACGGCCGTTCAGGTGTTTGGGCGGCCGCCACGAGACGCGGATCGAGTGGTGGTCCAGCTGAGTAGCGTTCACACGCCACGGAGGTGACGGCTCTGCCGGGGCGAGAGGGAGTGTGGTGAAGTTACCATGGTGGCGGCGAGGGTTCTACGGGGACGTCCAGAAACCCCATCGGCAAGTCAATAAGGTCAAAGCATCGTCGAACTCGACAGAACATTGTATAAACCGTCGAAGACCAGAGCAGCCCGGGAACATGTCAATTGTCTAATAAATGTTCGTAATTTCTCCGATCATTCAAGGCTACCCTAACCTACCAACAATGCGATGTAACTATTAAATGATACGCTCAGCGCTCACCTCTACCACACTCCATCTCGGGTCCCGGCGCCCACTCTCCCTCTCCTCCCCACTCACTGGCACTGGCAGTCCTCTGGCTGATGTACTGACTCGCCGGGAACACGTCCGGCCGTCCCTCAGCACGTACAAACACGGTGATGTTGTACCAAGTGTAGGGCTCCAGATGTTCGAACGTAAACTCGGGCTCTGCCACCCAGGTCATGTTGAGCCAGTGGCATGGCTGACCGGGCTGGTACACGGCGCATATTGATGGCAGGAACCTGCAGAGAAAGAACGGCAGAGAGGGTCACAGCTGGTAAGCAAGGCGCATAGTGACGGCAGGACTCTGCAGACTGCAGAGTCCGCAGACACAAGGGCAAAGGCGGCCAGACTAGTAATTGTGAGCAGAAGTTATCATTGGTATACGATGTCGGCGCCAGGGTCACCGAATCAACCAATTTCAGAAATCCTTGTAACATACTAACGTTTATTCCAATATTCAGTCGTAGACTCTATTGTCACTCTGCGTTATCGTCTCCCCACTGCAGCGAGATCCAGACACCCCCCCCACTGTGGACCGGACGACTGCAGCCACGCGCCTGTCTCACCTGAGTCTGGTGAGGGCGGCGGCGCCACGAGCGTTCGTCTGCCACCGCACTGTCAGAGAGCTGTTGGACACCTCGTCCAGTGTGTAGCTGACCACCTGAAGGCGGCAGAGGTCGGGGTGAGGCGCACACAGCGATACACAGAAAAAAAAATCAGGGGAGAAACGAGCGGAGAGGCGTCATAAGAAAAATTGACTTCACGGCAAGAGATACAACACAGCAAAGCAGGATTGCGTCACCAAAAGTCCAGAGTACCATCTGGCGATGCTTGAATAATATCAACGCTCGGCTAAATTATCTCGCTCACATCACTTGCCTTTACCCACTCTTACCACTTCAACAAACAGAAATACACGTACCCTGGCTCAACCAGCCCCATGGTATGATATTCTCTACCGTGCCCGGACTGCGCCCCTCACGTGCACAGTCGAGCTAGTCCCGTCAGTCAGGCGAGCCGGTTCGTCAAGTCACCCAGCCGGCCTCATAAGATCAGTCAGTCAGGTCAGTCAGTGCCTTGGTAAATCCGCCCCCATAGGTTAGCCCCCTACCTCTAATCCCCCGCTCCGCATACCTGGAAGACGGTGCTGTCGTCTCGGCAATTGACCTCGTCATAGCCATCGACACAGTCTCGGTGTCCGTCGCAGTACTTGTAGTAGGGCAGGCAGGTGTGGAAGTCGCAGCGGAAGTCCCCAGAGGGACAGGTGAAGGGCTGCACCGTGGTGCCGCCCTCTGTCGAAAGGCAACGACGGAGGGCGGTCAGTTACAGTGCGAACATAGTGCACACGGCAGCGGCAGTGAAAACCGCCGGTCGGTATTGAGGAAAGCTGCCTAGTGACTACAACGTGAATACATGGCTCACCCTACCAGAGTGTCCCATCCTACCCGATCAGCTTGAAGCTTCCCCATTTCACTTATCCGAGCACCCCCCCCCCCCCTCCCCCCACATGCACACACCTACCTGAGTGGCCCACCTTATCCGAGCACCCCCCCCCCCGCCCCTCCCCACACCTACCTGAGTGGCCCACCTTAACCGAGCAGCCCCCCCCCCCCCTTACTCGAACAGACCCGTACTTACCCGAGTGGCAGGCCTCCTCGTCCGAGTTGTCGGCGCAGTCCTGCCGTCCGTCGCAGACCCTCTCTCGGCCGATACACTCTCCGGAGAGCAGACAGCGGTAGTGGTCGTGGCCGCAGCCGGCGTGCGCACAGTCGGCCTCGTCCTCCCCGCCCGGGCAGTCGCGGTCGCCATCACAGAGCCAGGCCGACCAGATACATTTGCCTGCCACAAAGTCATAGCGACCGTCACACAGCGTCGACCGTCACCTGACCGGTACACAGCCACGCAGACCAGATGCACTTGCCTGTCATATAGACATAATTATTGTCACACAGCGCAGATCGTCACACACCAACGCCGACCGTCACAGAGACGCGCCGACCAGATACATTTGCCTGTCACAAAGTCACACATACCGTCACATTACACACCGATCGTCATACAGCCATGCAGACCAGATGCACTTGCCTGTCACAGTCATAAGTCCGTCACACAACCAAAGTTCATGACGGGTGACGTCGAAGACCGTACTATAGCCGTTATCTAACACGATCAACTGCAGGCCAGAATCAAATGATAACGGTATCCGAATATCGTGTACCATGACAGCTCCTCCGCTGCGCAGGGATGCGCGCTGCCCCTACTCCAAACTTCAGCAACGTTTCGTCGAGTAAGACCTGACCTCCTGTCCCTATTCCGGTCCCGGTGAGTCCATTTCGGGCAGTTCCTTTCACAGGTCTTTTCTGCATACGGCGCACAGAGGGGTACAACCCTTTCCAAATCCTCACCACCCTTCTTCCCCGCCGCCCCGCCCCCGCCCTCACCGGAGTCGCAGCGGAAGTGGCTGGCCGAGCAGGTGGTCGGAGCGACCGGCGGCGGCGGCGAGCCCGTGGCCGGCCGCTCGGTGCCGCTGTCACAGCCGCGCTCGTCGCTGTTGTCGCCACAATCGTCGGCGCCGTCGCACTTCCACCAGACGGGGATGCAGCGTCCGTTGTCGCAGCGCAGCAGGTGGCCGCTGGAGCTGCCGCACTGGCCGGTCGGCGGGGCCTGGGGAGCGGACAGCGGTAAAAGAAATGGTCAGAGCTGGGACACAGACCACAGAGGACACGGACCAGAGAGGACACTGATCAGAGCAGTCACATATCAGAGAGGGCACAAACTAGACAGCAGTCAACATGAATCCAGTACCGTGCGATACCATGGGGTTATAGATCAAGCGGCATGATACCGTGGGTAACGTTGCCCCAGCTCTGCCGTACCGTGGGGAATGTGGGCACGGCCGGCTCGGTGGTCGGCGCCGCCGTGGTGGTGGCGTCTCCGCAGCCCTCCTCATCCGAGTTGTCGCCGCAGTCGTTCTGGTTGTCACAGCGCCATTTGCTCTGAATGCAGCGCTTGTTGGCGCACTGCCACTGCCAGCTGGGGCAGGTGTGGTTGGCGCAGCGCGTCGGGTCCTCGTCCTCCCCATCAGGACACTCTGCCGTGCCGTCACACACCCAGGCCGGCGGCAGGCACTGGCTGGACGACCGGCAGGCGAAGCTTGGCGGCTCGCAGGGCGGCGGCGCCGGCGTGGCGCAGCCCTGCTCGTCAGAGTTGTCGCGGCAGTCGTCCTCCCCGTCACACCGATACTGGGCCCGCACGCAGCGGCCGCTGTCACAGCGGAACTCTGCCTTCGTGCAGTTGGGGTACTGGCAGTCGCGCTCGTCCGAGCCGTCCTGGCAGTCGTCCTCAAAGTCGCACCGCCACGAGCCGGTGATGCACCGGCCGTTGTCGCAGCGGAACTGGAGCGGCGCGCACGTGGAAGTGCCGCAGCCGGCCTCGTCCGAGCCGTCGCCACAATCGTCATCGCCGTCGCAGATCCAGTCGCGGTTGATACATAACTTGCTGGTGGCGCACGTGAAGAAGCCCTCCGGACACACGAGGTTCACTGCAACACGTGAAACGGATGCATAAATGCACGATCAAAATAGCGAAATTGCGGAAGTCATACAAATTTTCTAGAGACCGTATTCTTTTTTTCTCCAATGAGTAGGCAAAATAGCATATAAAACACTGCCTCTGTGCCATAAAACTCAGCAAAAGTAATTAGGTAGATACGTACACACTTATGAATAATATACCAGGGCGCTATGCGTGAGCGATTTTTCAACACATTTTACACTTAACTGTTCCTTGCCAGGTTACTATCAGCGTGCTGCGCGGACCCGCGATCCTCGGCCGTGCGGCGCGCTCACCTGACGGACAGGTTCCGTTGGCGAAGGGCGTGCCACCACCGGGACAGAGGCACTTGTCGCCCTGCCCGCTCAGTCCGTCCGGGCAGAGACAGCGGTGCCGGCCGGCCGGCCGCGGCGTACAGATCCAGGGGCAGCTGGTGTTGGTACAGCCGCTGACACCCTCCTGGGACTGCTGGCCGTACACCTGGTGAGGGGAACAGGGAGATGTCACCGATGTCACCGATGGAGACATGGGCAGGCAGACGTCACATACATACACGCAGTACCTTGCGTTTTTAAACCGCAACCGCAAAAACGTTTTGCGTTTTTTTCACCGCAAAACGCCGTTTTTTGCAGCGTTTTGCGGTTTGCGGCGGCCGGCCGTTTTTTGCGGCGTTTTGCGATTGCCAGCGGCCGGCCGTTATTTGCGATAACGACGGCACAAATGTGCGATTTGTGTCCACTCCTGTGGTATGAGGACACAGAGCAGCACGTCACCATGACTAACCACCCGTACGCCGACACAAAGCGCGTGACATAGCACAGAGCACAGCTGTTAGTTCTACAAAATAAGTCCTCTCCGTATGCGGGCAGGTGGCGCCCGAGTAGCGCTCAGGCGCTAACTGCTCACTGGTGACCTGCATACGACGAGGACTTATTTTGTAGACTTACTTTACGTGACACAGCATAGCAGGTGAAACAGGACATCATAGCAAGGACAAGGTACTGCTCCCGCTGCAACTCGTGAACATACCAGTCTAAGACTACCCTAAAAAAGCACAATTATTCACTGACAGTAGAACAATTGTTATATCAGAAGATAGCATATTAGAACGAAATTTATCGCCCAGCCAATATTTTACTGCCCAAATTTCCAGACCAGTAATCCGGCCTGTCCTTCAGACAGCAGCTCACCGCACCACCCATCCAGTGGAGGCCGTACCTGGACGCTGACCACGTTCGGCATGCCCTCCAGCACCTTGACGATCCGCTTTGGCTCCAGTTTGTCCGACATGAGTACACTCTCGATGCGCCAGTCGTTCCAGAACATCATATCCTTGTAAACGGCGATCGAGAACGGGTGGCCGCTGTACTCCTGTGGAGAGCACGGGACAGCCGCGGGGTCAGTTATGACGCTCAGAGAGCGGGTGGCTGCTGTACATACTCACTTTGGGGAGCAGGGGACAGGCGGGGGTCAGTAACGCTCAGAGCTGCGGGTGGCCGCTGTACTCCTGTGTAAGGCAGGGGACGGCGGGGTGTGTAACCTTAGAGAGTGGGTGGCCGCCTGTACTCCCGTGGGGAGTAGGGAGCGGGGAGTTAGTAGGATTCAGTCAGGGGGTCAGTAGGGGGGCGGGAGTCATCATGGAGCAGGGGAGTCAGAAGGAAATGCTGGGGGAAGTCAGTAGTGCTCAGAAAGCGGGTGTCTGCAGCAGCTGCTGTATAACTCTTGTAGAGAGCACGGGGCAGGAGGGGTCAGGCTGCAAGGCTCAGGATAGATGTGGGATACTTTAACACGCGCACTGCAGGGGGGGGGGGTTGTTTTCAACCCCCCCCCTGTGGTTTTTCGCAAATTGCGAGAAAACGGCGGCGCGTAGCGCCGCCAAATTTTGCATACCTGTTCTCACAACTTTTGCACACCTTGAGTAAAAATTTTGACCCCAGGTGACCTATGGTCAGGTCACCAGGTCAGGTCAAGTGACCCTACCTCGAAACGTAAATTTCGAAGTTTGCAATCCCACCAAGCCCACAGTTGTTGAGATATGATCTTGAAACCCACAGGAAATAGTAAAGTCATCACGAGCTACAACTTGTATATCTCGGAATTTTTATATCGATGACCTAAGGTCAGGTCATTTTTGCGACCGGCCCATTATAAGTCAATGGGAAAAATTTCAACTTACTCTGAATGCCATCCTATGACTTCAATACGCTCAGGATCATAGTATTACAGGTCCTTGTTGGTGATTTCACCGAAACATATCACTTATGACCTTTGGAAGGTGATCTCCAGGTCATCTTAGGTCACCTGAGGTCACCAGCGGTTTTTCTTCAATAACTTGAGATTGAGTAGAGATAGAGACTCCGTTCGACGTTTATCGTGTTTTTCTCGTCAATGCGGATCGAATGATATGCAACATGACCTATTTCGGTCAGGTCATGACCTTGACCTGAGGTCAAATTTTCAACTTGACCTTTCGAGGTCATATTATACATATCATATTATATGTATATCATTCGATGCGCCTTGACGAGCTAAGAACGATGGCGTTCGAATCGATCCTCTGTCTTGTGTGCAAGACAAGTTATTCAAGAAAAACTACCGCGAAATTCCTGTTGTGAAAATCGTAACATTTTGTCTTCGGTGACCTCTGGTGACCTCGTTTTTGACCTGACCCAAAAATGATCTTAGTATTTCTTGTCGATCTCATCTTAACCTATCCAACGCCGTTTACCGCTTGTCGCTACGTTGCGCCGTTTTTGAGATCTCAGGGGGGGTTGTTTTCAATCCCCCCCCTGCAGTTCGTGTTCGGCTCAGACCCGCTGCAGTGCGCGTGTTAATTTCAGAATATGGACAGAGCTTTGACAGCTGTCGCCCTTGCCTGACGCAATAATCTAACAGCTCAAACTGGCATACGAGTTTTCTATCACATTGTGTGACCCGAGAACTAAAAGATATGCTCTGAACAACGCTCTTAACTCTCTGCCCCCCCCCCCCCGGCATCCCGTGCGTCCCTTTCCGACCGTCCTGTCATGTCTCATGACCTCCCTTCCCGCGCGTCACTGACCGTCTTGTCCTGCAGTATTTTGCGGTTGGAGCCGTCCAGGTCTGCCGAGGCGATGTAGTCTAGATTAGCATCCACCCAGTAGAGCCGGTCGGTGGAGTAGTCTATACACACACCGTTCGGCCACACCACCTGGCCGCGGCCCGTGATCTGTTTCGGCTCCGTGCCGTCCATGAAGGCGCGGTAAATGCCCGGAGACGTCTGTGACCAGTCCGTCCAGAACATGTACCTGGGGGAGAGGGACAGAAGCGCCGAGTTGAATACATGAGAAAATAGTCTTCGACCACAATTATGACTGGGTCACCTTCAGAAGCATATCATGATACAATTACTGGAGTGAACCTCTAACGAAGCATCTTACCACCCGTCACTGGGGTGAAGCTGACCCGCCTACGTCCCCTGCTGCCGTACAGTTAACCTACTCGCCCTTCGGTTAGTAGAGCGGCAGGCCCCTACACAACGCCATGGTTGTAGTGTATCCTGTCTCACCATTTGGTGGGGCGTACTACTACCCATCCTTTGATGGGACGGAGCGTCAGGTCCCTGTTCCCCCGTGGTCCTTTGGCGAGGTGCCACGCCCACTTACCCCTTGGTGGGATGGAGCGCCAGGCCGCGCGGGTTCTCCAGCACGCTCCTGTCGAGCAGTGTGGTGCGCAGGTGACCGGCGTGCCGCACGGCCGGACGCAGCAGCTGAATGGTCGCCGTGTCCGACTCAGTGAGATACAGGTTACCCGTGGTCCAGTCGAGCGCCAGGGACTCCACTGTAGACGCGTTGTGGTTGAGGACAACTTCCTGACCGGAGCCGTCCATACACTGACGCTGCGGGCGAACAGACGGGCTCAGATTTCATGACGGTTATTTATTTATTTATTTATTTATTTATTTATTTATTTATTTATTTATTTATTTATTTATTTATTTATTTTTGTTGGGTTAGGCCCTTTCGGTCCAATGGGCATTTCAGAGCCGGGAGGATGATAGGATATAGGGGGAGACAATGGTCTGGGCAGGCACCCTAGTGAGTCAACGGGGCTGAGTCCGTCCAGAGGACACGCCACCCAGCCCCAAGGCACTCACTGCACCCGGCTACGGGGTGCGCTCCCTGGGGAGCAGCGGTGCCGCTCCAAGGGAGCAGCCCGCATGAGATAACGTTGTCTGTCCAGCCCGGAGGGCGGTTGCGGCGTGGAGGAGAAGGATTTCGGTATCCTGAGGATAGAAGCACGGAACGGTGATGGCAGTTATAGGGGCGGACGGAGGTCAAATGTCACAGGAGACGGGCTGGGGGCCGGACAGACGGGATATAACGTCACGGCCGTTATCGGGGCGAACGGACGAACGGATGGAAAGATGTCACTACGGTAAGGGCGGTCACAATGAAAGTACCGGTAGATCCGACTCGTCATAACGAACATCGCCAACCAGGTGACCATGACAGTTTAAACACGGACCCAGCCAAGGAGACTTGACTTCAATTTGAAACCAATACGTTTGCAGCACGTTCAACCCTGGCTCCTCATCAGATCAATGTTATCAACTAGGCCTCCCTATCAAAAGCCAGCACCACCAGCAAACCTTTCGCACCTCCGCCCCCCCCCCCCTCAAACACACTCCCAGCGTCACTCCAGATTCCAATCCCTCCATAAAATCCACCCGTCCCTTCCGTCCCACACCCGGACACCCACCATGACGTGTTTGAAGGCGGTGTCGGACCAGTACAGGCAGCCCGTCCGCTTGTCGTACTCGACAGCCACCACGTTAGCGATACCAGTGAGGGGAGCGGGCGTCGGCGCTACGCCACTCTCGACATCCTTCAGGGGCAGTCGGAGGATGGCATCTCGGCGAGCCAGCAGCAGAAAGTCGGAGATCTCACTGGGGACACAGAGCAGTGGCAGTTAGAAAGGGAGAGCGAGGGAGGACGAGGGAGAGCGAGGAAGGCCGGGAGACGGAGAGAAGTGGAATGACATGTAACCATAGAGGATGGCATAGGGGACGGAGAAGGCGCAAGAGAACACGAGAGACGAGAGAGGGTAGTGGGACATAATGATATCATAATGATATAACTCATATAAGGAAGAAATGGTCCGGAAAACAGAAATTGGCAATTACGGAGATGTCGAGCTGCCGCTTGATGGTTCTGTCTGTACTGACTACTGACAGTGAACAATCTTTGAACAGTCTAGTCTTTGAAGCTACCACAGAAAGGCAGACACGGCTGCGTAAGTGGATATGTTAACCCTCGCATGTGTGCGGCGTTTGCCAGCTTCTAATGTGTAGGGGGGGGGGGTCGGTTGGACCCCCCCCCCTTGCCGTTTGGCCCCTGATCGAGCTAGAGCTTCGCGGAAAAAACGAGCGTGTTGCCCGTGACGAGAGGAAGCCGATGATACCCAATTTTAAGGTCCTAGGTCATTGGTTGACCTTCCAGGTCAGGTCAATGACCCAAAGTCGGGAAAATCGGGACCTGTTAGAAAGTCGTAAAGTGTGGCTGCTAAGGGGTTTTTCGGGGTGCTGATCACGAATATCGTGTTAGTTTTGATCACAGATGATGTCTTGAAGCATTTAGACCAGGTCGGGTCAGGTCAGGTCAGGTCAACCAGTAGGCGTCGTGACGGGTATTCGTAGTACGTGTCAACCGCCTCTGACAGCTTCGTAACATGTTACGAAGTCACCAAAACTACTTCGTAAATGTTCAAATGGTTGCTAAATTCGAATTCAGCTAAAAAAAAACTAGCCTAGAAACATGTAAAACTCGAAAAAGTGACCCGAGGTCACCCGAGGTCATCAAAGGTCAATGACCTGACCTGACCTTCAGGTGACCTTGACACACACACGGGAGTAACATCAAATCACATGTTTGAACGTTTGAAACCACGAAAAGCTTGCAAACACGCGGCTAGTGCGAGCCGACATACGCGAAATCGCGATTCCGGCCAAACATGGTCTCGGAAAAGAGGTCACAGGTCAAAGGTCATTTGGGTCAGGGTCATGAAATTTTCAGGGTAGGTGTAAAATTGATCAATGCGAGGGTACTGAAAGTTTCGTCGCGATCGGCCGCTTTTTACGCGAGTTATTCGCGAAAAACCATGGGGGGGGTCCATCCGACCCCCCCCCCCTACACATGCGAGGGTTAAATGTGCAGAAAAGGTTAGACCATATCATCTGATCATACCTCACTGCAATGTCGATGAAAAGGCTCATCATCAACGTCCATAAGTCAAGACACTGCATGGCAGCTTAGAGAAACACCAGCTGTCAAACTAAAAAAAGGCCGTAGTATGCGGCGGAGCCCTAATATAATAGCTCAGCGGCTAACTATCAACAGAAAACAGACAACAGACAAGCCAGCCGACACCATTACCCGTCAACGCCGAGTGCCGGCTAGCCGTCTCCCTTCCCTCACCTGACCGGGCAGGGCCGCGGGTCGGGCTCAAACAGCACAGCCGCCACGGGTCCCGGCTGGCACGTGTCGCCAGGCACGCGCACGAAGCCCCGCGACACGTTGTAGTAGGAGCCCTCGGGACACTGGGTGGGGTCGAAGGCGGGCGGAAGTCGGGCCACCTCTGGGTCTCGGACGCAGGTGGCCGTCCGACCTGTAGCGCCCACGGCTGACTCCTTGTATCCAAAGTCGCTGCCGAGAGGGGAGGGAGGTGAGCCAGGACTGTCAGAGAAACCCCGATCACAGCCAGTCAGCAAGGTAGAAAATCAAGTTAAACATCGCCAGAGCAGGTCTACAAGAATACAAATCGAGAATCGTATAGACACAACAATCCGGAACAAAAAATACTACCACCTGAGACAATGTGCCCAAGCTCGTCTGTTTTGACCACAAACAGCTCACGTCATGGCTGTTGACTTCCTTATCCGAAAACAAGTGATAACATCGTATCGAACTCATTTCGTAGCAACTATCAACCAGCGTGTTATCGCCTAAACCACAGACCAAACACTGCCAGCCTCAGCAGCCACATCGACAGGCCTAAAAATCACACCTATCAGCTCGATCCCGTCCCGGCCCGGTGGCGGCCGGGACACCTCGTGATCCGTGATTCTTCCCACGGAGCTGACCCTTCGAAGCCGCACCTGTGATCACTCCAATAAGCGCTCACCACAGTCCTAGTTATCCCCTTCTCACAGACCTAAACACAAGTAGTGACCCTGACACGTAATACACAACCACACCCCTTTGAACCCTCCCGTAGCTAACTCACCACTCGTAGTCGTCTCTCAGGCAGGCGCAGTTTTCCACAGAGACCAGTGGCTCGCGGCCGCCCTCCCCGATGTAACAGCGCTGGTGCGGCAGTCGGCGTCGGTACGTCTCCTTTCGACCCAGCAGACAGCCGCGGCCCGACGAGCGGCCGCGCGGTGTCCACAGCTTGTAGTCGTCCTGCGTGCAGTTGTGTCCTGCGCAGGACACACGCTAGGTCAGGAAATGTGAAAGAGGTAGGCAGCATTTACAGGGAGGCAGGGCGAGGCTGCAGCTTTGTTAGGGCGGCTGGGTAATTAATGGCCTGCAGAGGACATTAATGGTAAGCTGGTGTTAATGGTTTCCATTCGACGCACGTCATTAATAAACGCTTAATAAAAGCTTTAAAAAATCTACACATTCAAAGCTGGGTAAGTATAAAACATAACACGTTCCAAACCCTGTTGCCCAGACCAACTCGGACGAGTCCACTTTGCGCCACTCACTGAACTGGGACCTCAGGTCGACGCGGACCGAGATCCAGCCGCTGCGGTCCATGCGCGCGCAGAAGATGAGGAACACGGTGCCGGAGCCACCCGACTCCGTCAGCAGACTGTACACCTTCACCTCGTCCGTGAAGAACAGGTGGCGGCCCCACGTCATGCCTTCGTCGAGCGAGTAGAGCAGTTCGCGTGTGCCTCCTTCGCTGTAGCGCCGCACGGCCACGATCAGGCCGCCGTGGTCACCGAACGCGTACAGAAACTGGCCGCGTAGCACCTGAGGTAGGGGAAGGAGGAGCAAAGGTTAGAGAGATACCCGCTGAACGTGTACAGGAACCGACCGCGCAGAACCTGCGGCGGAAGGAAGGGGCAGATAGAGGCAGAACAGAGGTCAGGAAGAAACTCCCGACTGCACTTTGTAGAAACATCCGATACCATCACCGTCAGTGTATGAAACCGTCAGGATGTCAAAAAGTGGTTTACTCCAGCAGTAGAAACTAAAAAACCAAGCAAGGTAGATTTCCTTCGATCGGACTTCTGCAACGAGTATCACATCCACACATTGTGTTCCTTTCCAGCTCCCATGCCGAGCTCAACCATCTCGTGTCATGCACACAGCCTGAGCTGTCTATAAACCCTTCCCCTTTCCTGACTCTTCTCCTTCTTTTCCCGCACCTAGCCGACCCGTCCGCTCCTATCACCTCCCGTCCCTATCCTCACCTGCCGCCACGTAGCGCCGGCGTCGCGGCTGAGCACGATCGACGGGTGGCCTTTGAGCGAGTCGCCGATGACGCCGGTGGCCATCACCAGCCCGACGGCCGACGAAGACGACAGCACCGGAATGTACTTGGTGCCCGGGTACAGGTTGGTCATCTCCTGGGAGATGTGCAGCGAACAGTTCTCCGCCTGCGGAGGGGAAGAGACGGCGATAACGGGCGTCAGAAAGTAGGAAATGGAAGTCAAAAGACAAAACAATCAGCAACGGCCGAGATTCGAGAAACAGTTCAAGACAAGTATGCGGTAAGAAAATTGAAATAGCCAAACACAGATAGTATAGACTTTGGCACTAAGTACGTTCATGAATGCATAACTCTACCGTACCACCCTGAAGCAAACACAGCATGGATTGCGCCGACGCGACAAATTCGTGCCGACGCGGATGTTTTTATACCGTCACCTACTCTTCGCAGTGGATAGGCACGTCCTACAGTAGGTATGACGTGTGTCGACTCGTTACCCACCTTCTCGCAGTGTATCGGCACACCAGTGGCATCAACTGTCGGCGGGGACACCGGCTGCCAGCGGCCGCCCTTATCGAACGTGATGAGCGTCAGTACGTGCTCGGGACCCAGCCGGCTGGCCTGCTGGCCGTCATAGTCGGGAGGCAGCCGCGACGCCAGGTAGATGCCACGCAGGCCGCTCACACGGTGGACGTCCACAAAGTCGCCGCCCACCACACTGCCGGGGAGACAGGGAGCTGGTCAGGGAGACGGGAGAGAGAAGGGCAAATGGTCAAGGGAGAATATGTGGGGACAGTCGATCCGTAGCATGGCTAGAGCAGGTATGACAGATCGGCGCAACAAACACTCCATATGTTTTTCCATCAGTAGGCACGTCAGTATGTATCCTTGTCAGTTAGGTATTAGTAAAGTAGCCTTGAGTAGGCATGCCCGCGGTCTGTCTGCAAATTAGGGTGCGCCAAAGGGCGGGTGGACAAGTGAAGCATGTCCTAGAAAAAGCTGTTATTCGTCTCAAAACAAGGATTCGCTTAGAATTCGTGAGGATGATTCACGAAAAACACGTGACACGTGACACGTGACGAAACACGTGACGAATATTCGCTGCTGTACGCAGTTGCAAATCGTGAACAAAACATGCACCCGAGGCGAGTGAATGGCTGCAGCTACAGCCGAGCCCGGTAAAAACAGACCACAGCGCCCCAGTACCAAGCCGCGTCAGCGACCGTTAGGTACCCGCGGTAGGTGACTGTACGCCGCTTCTGCACTGTGACTCACGCTGTGAGCGCAATCAGGTGTTACAACATATGTCGACGGCTGCCGCAGCTCGCGTGTCGAAAAACACCACCGGGCACGAAACCAATTTGCGGCATCGATACATCAAACCGACGGGTGTATTAGTTCGATCAGGTAAGGCTAGGGCTACTGACGAGCCTTATACAGCAAAAAGGCGAAAGAAAATAGCGATATAATTAGTAGAAAAGATATAAAAAGTATTGGAATACAAATAATATGATAATGAGGTTTTACAGGCACAAGAACAAAGCATCTTGCAAGACATAAGCTACACATGATACCACTGCAATAATACCGATTCGAACCCAAAAGCCCAGCTCCCATCAGCGTCCACCAGTTTCTCACCTGAGCCACGATCCGGCGAACGTCTTTCCGGTGCTGTGCGTGAGAACGTTCTCCAGTGAGAGTGAGAAGCGCACGCCGCGCTTGTCCGGCACGGCCGACACGTACAAGCTGGACGAGGTGGCGTTGTGGATGACGGCCACCATTACCTGACGGTAGATGACGGTAGTCAGTACATAGGGGCTAGGACGCTACTACGATACAATCACTGCAGTTGTTGGTGGTAGTGGTCATTGAGGAAGAGCTGTCAATGACGGTAGGTAATCTAACCATCTTGGGGGTAGAGCTACCACAATGTTTAGCCTAAGATAGTCGAAGGTGGTCGTTGGGATAGGTCTGCCGCAACAGTGAAACCCACCTCTGCAGTAAGAGAGCCGTTCTGATAGCGCTGAACGTACTTTTTGAACGTAACTTCGAACGTAATCTGATAACGCCGTCCAAAATGTCCTGTTCCGCTCATTCAGCAGAGTAGCTGCCGAGTGCCATGCCTTCCCCACCAGCACCACCCATCACCTCCGGCGATGATGCGCTCACCTGATCATCACTAACGTCCACCACTTCGTAGTCGATAGCGCGCAGACCGGCCGGGAACTGGGCGTTTGTGAACGGATCCCCGCGGTGGCTAACCCATAGCTGTAGCGTGCCGTCCGACTGGTGCGAGCCCAGCAGTCTCTGCAAGAGAAGGAGGAGTTACCGCAGGAACGCAGAGAGCGACAGCGTGGACGACGAGGCATGGGAGATAGTCAAACGTCCCTCGGTCTCCTAAGTGAATTTCATCCCTCACAAACATTTGAGTTGAGTCATCTAACCGTTGAAGCTCACCAGTTTACTCGAGCAAGCATAAAAAACATACATTTGCTGAGCGACGATAAATTTAATCGGCACCTTTACGAACATCTAGTAATCTAATGAGCATCTAGCTATGATCATCTAGCCCACGCAGACGAACCAACAGTTCGTCACGTGACCGGAACCCTAACGTCGTAGAGGGGGCTGCACTCCACTGGGTGTGTCAGCTCGCCTCCACCGAGCCAAAAGTCAACAATGACAGACAGCGTGGTACTACAGCGCACTAAAGCGGACCGCCGCGCCCGGACCGCGCTCTATGAGTCAAGACATCGAAGAATGACACAGAATAGCTGTCGATTACGCAATACGCGCATCCCGCGTGTATGCCATCTCACTGTCTACCTACCTCCCCAAAAATCAGCCATCTCCCCGTCCCGTCCCATGGTGACCTAGTGTTACTTCTTCCTCTCTCTCTCTGTCCCTTCAGCATCTCCCTTCACCCCCTCTATCTCTCCCCTTCAGCATATCCCTTCACCACCTCTCTCTTCCCTTCAGCATGTCCCTTCACCCCCTCTCTCCCCTTCAGCACTCACCACCCGGCGGACGGCGAACCGGAAGTCCTCTTTGATGGTGAACTTTTCCACATCCTCTGCCACTGTGGTGTAGTTGAGGAAGAGACCGGTGGACGAGCGGACCACGCCCGGCCGTTCCGGCTGCCTCCGGTGCACGTACAGCACGGCCGGGTCGGCGGCCGCGTCCCACGTGTACGACGCCACGTACTGCTCCACCACGTGCCACGAGGCGCCGAACGTGTCGCTGGCCCATAGCTGAGGGTAGGGGGTGAGGTCAGGTGGCGGGGTGTTACTGATGGGTGGGATGACGGACTGTATTGGTTGGGTGAAGGGAAAGAGGAAGGCTGGGTTGTACAGTGTACGCATTGCGCCACGGTCATGATACTGCGGTGGGGTGAGAACCACAGTACAGTGACACATTCGGAAAACCCGCCCCCTTCCCAGCTAACATTGATAGCGGGCTGGCTGCAAAACCATACGAGAGCGGAAGTCATTCAATGGCATGACAAGCGCTGGCGAGTGGCGAGCCTCCACCAAACGGGCAACATACGCATTTCATAGCGAATTACTCACTCAGGGTCTCACTGCTAGGTGTGATAAATGTCAAAGTGCCACACGAATGTCCTAAATTTACAGCCGTAGTGATCGCTAAAAAATCGTAAACCTATCAGGTAATTGAGCAGAATAAAGATACCTTATCATTCATTGGAAATACGATACCCTATCAGAAAGCAGCCAGAAAGTGCTCAACATGCTCTAGCCGTGGACTGCCGTGGTAGGCGACATCACTCAAAATGGACAGACTCATTTAGCCCAATCAGTATCAATCTGACTCCATCGACAGAGCTGGGTCAGATTGACAGCCAAACGGCAGTAAGCGATCAGCAATCGGGCGGGGAGCACGGTGTCAATCAGTGTCAGCGGAATCAATCCGTTTATTGTACGTACTCCAGACAGCTAGCAACAGTGGTGAGCCTGCAGTCAACAGTCGGTAGCGGTATTCTAAGGTCAAGTCTACGGTGCAGCCTGCAGTCGTCTGCAGTCTGACAGTGTTAGCCCGACGCAGTCTTCGTGGATTGTGCGGCCAGTGCACCTGTAAGAAGGGCGTTAGGTACTGCGTCGCGGCACGAGTCACGGGCCGTCCCTGTAGACTGTGTGGCCCGTACACCAGCTAGTAGGTTAGGTACTGCGCCGCGGTACAAGTAAGGACCCCTGTCTTTGTCCCCATAGACCGTGCGGCCGGTGCACCTGTTAGTAGGTTGGGTACTGCGCCGTATGCTGCGTCGCGGTACCAAGTCAGGCTTTGTCCCTGTAGACCGTGCGGCCACTGCACAATAGTAGGTCAGGTACTGCGCCGCGGTACGAATTAGTGGCGATCGATCTGTCGCTCCACCCATTCACCCTCCCCTCGGCCGCTCGTCGGCGGCGGCGCAGCGACGGTGGACGACGCGACTCCTCACACACCGGTCACCCCCCGCACCGGCCACCCAGCCCCTCCCCGCCGGTCAGCCCACCCCCTCTTGCAGGGGTGACGGACGGTCTCAGTGGTCCGCTTTTCCTGGTCAGTCGGCCGGTAGCAGTGCTGTCCACTGTCCAGTGACAAGTGGTAAGCACCAATTGACTGTTGTAACCTCTAACACCTTCCGCTCAATGAACAGGCGACAGCCCCGTTGAACAACAGAACAGACGAACAGCAGAAGTAGCTAGCTGGGTTTTATCCCACATCACAGCGATGCTTATTTGCGCAGTCGGTCAGGACGAGCGCCAACAATCGTGACAAAAATGTCCACGGCGAACGCGGTTCATCTACGCAGTAGGCCAGAATGGGACTCGACGGGGTTCCACATAGGATCGGCGGTAGTTGCCGCTGACAGTTAGCGACACCACTGGGTGCACCGGTGTCGTCCGACCAGCGCCGTGGCTCACCCGACCGCGTTTGTTGACAGTGTCCTAGTATTGCAGACCGCAGTAAAATCATAGCCTGCCGTCCCCGTCCATTCCGTGACCGGTTCGGGCGCGTCGCGCCGCGGCGGCGGCCTTCACCGTCACGAACTGGCGCGACAAAGACCCGCGGGCTGTCACGGGAGGGGGCAGGGGGAGGGGGCTCTGTCGCAGCCGCCCGGCCGCCAACTGTGGCACAAAGACCGGCCGCTCGGTCAGCTGACGGTGGCGGGGCAAAACCCGCGCAACCCGCCGCTGCGTTATCGGTCGGGCCTCGCCGCCGCTGGCCGAGATAGGTTATCCGCGTCCAACGAGCAGCTGTAAACGACAGAAGCGAACCCACGCACCGCTATCGGTCAAGTTCGGCTGCCCCGTAGCCTCAGTGCGCTGTTTCGATTCACAGGCACGCGGCAAAACATGCGACGTTTTTGTTATGGAGACTGAAGGTCACATCCATGACCCAGTGTTGTGATAGGGGTGCTAGCGGTTCCAGTCGTGACGCGACATACCCGCGCAGCTCAAGGGCCCATGACACCACAAAGAGACAGACCATCACAGCGCTGGCACCTCTGGTCTGTACGAGACTCCAGTCACACGCAGACGAGCCGTGATCTAATTCCGACAGCGCCGTCCGGCCGGTTCGGGCCGACCGATGGGCACCTAAAGCGTCACGACACTGAATAAACTGGTCTGTCGTCCGGACGGCGGCCCAGGAGACCGGCGCGATGGGCGCCCCGAAACCCGCAGTGAGCCGCGATCATTTTTGGGACCGGCGACCACCCCGGAAACGGCAGTGAGCAAACCGGCGCGGAGAGTCACGCCATAACATTCGCTCGCAACACCGAGAAACTCGCACAAACACGAGACAGAACCACAAACTCACTATCAGTAAAACACTTACGAAATGTGTTCAACATAAGTACCAATGACCGCAAAACTAGAAGCCATCAAGTCGAGCCAAAGCACATTACCGATTCAGTTACGTAATTACAAAAAAGGTCAATGTCCCGACAAAAATCACGCGTTGCTTTTGTCGGCACGAAGCAAACATCGGCCTTTAGTCGCCCACACGTATTGCAAAGCTCGTCCCAACCCGTCTTACCGATCACTAACAAAACTTACCGACTGTATATTGCTGTCATAGCCGAGCAGAACGGTGCGCCGACGGGGGTCGAACGAGATCTTGGACGGCACGAAGTCGACTCGGTGTCGCGTCAGGCCCTTGGCAATGTCGTCAGTCACGAATATCACCTTGTTGATGGTGTCCGTGAACACGTACTGCAAACGGAAATAAACAGGCGTCAGAAGTAGAACACGACAAAACATCATACTACTGACGGTTATTGAAAGCGGTGAGATCAAGGGAACACGCAATGTGAAACGAACAGTGGCGGATTCGGGCGTGCGGCACAGGCTGACAGACATAGCAGGATTCTGAATGAGATTGTGTAGCAGGCAGTGCACTGGGTTATTTCATCCTACGTCACCAGGGCAACACATTGTAATTTTTCCCCGCTATTTGTGCAAAGCCAGAGAGATTGCAGACTTGTTTAAACCAAACTTGTCAACTTGCAACAGTAAAGTTGTTCGTACGCGGCCTGACGCTTGTTTAGGGATGCTGTTACAAGATGTCCTACCATACGCCGCCTGCATACGAACTCAGCAGAACCAGATAGTTGAACTGAGCTCTTATAGACATCTGCTCGGGGTCGGTGTATCAGCATTGCAACGGTCTCCTGGTCAGCCTGCCTATTCCATCCCTGCAGCATCGTCCACAGCGTGGGCCGGGCGCAGCCACAGAGCCGGGAAGCTCCACTTACGCCAGAGACGCGCGTTGCGACACCCCTGCAGGAAGGACATCGGCACAGAGCACTGTCGGAAAAACAGCGGTGCGCGCGGGACAGGACGGGACGCAGAGGTCAGCCGTCGAGAGGCAGTAACGGAACACACGCCCACAGCCCGGCAAACGGCGCAAGACGCCAGGCTCGCACTCGCCCGGGTCGCGCTTGCCATTCTGTTTATTGTTTATACTTGTGGACGACGCGGAACGGTCCGTCCGGACATAGCCGAAAAGCACTGTCCGCAGGAACAGCTGGCAATAGCGGCCGGTGGCTTCTAAACTCGCAGACAGCGGTCTGCACTACGGCGGACCGTCTGTGGTGACCCATAAACGGAGTCTCCCGCGACGGTCAACAGTCAACATATGTTGGCTGGTCTGGGTATACGGCTGACTGATCCAAGTTTGAGCTTCACCCGAGCCTTAATTAAGCACACCCGACTCAAGTCTTACTCGAGTCACGTCCAAATCTGAAGCATAACCGATCCACGTTTGCCTGAATTTTATCCACGTCCGAAACATGCCCCACCAGAGTCTTGAGAACCATTGAGATCACGTTGTAGTATCACGTCCAGCTGTAGCTGGACCGGCGACCACGTGGCTAAAATTCCACTTTCACTGGTCCTTACACTATTCGTCCCCCCCCCTCTCATTATCTCCTGCCAGTCCACCTCGTGCTCTCAGTTCAGTACCAAGCCGTAACATCGCGCCGTCCAGTGACGCCCCCCCCCCCAGCCTGCCCACGTGACGGGACGTCTGGTGACGTCACCAGGCCATTCGGCCGAAATGCGTGCCGGCCGGCGGCGGAGGCGGTTCCCCGAGCTATCATCTCGGCTCGGCTGGACAGTGGAATGCGACTGGTTCCGGAGGAGCGGGGAGGACGAACACCGTTTAGAGGACGAACATAGGCGGGCCGACGATACCGTTCGGGGTACGAGAGGAACTCGAGATGCATGCGCTCGCGCTCTGCTCTTTCTCTCTCGTGTTCACAAATCTTCTACACGTTCTACGCTCATTATGTCACTTATGTCCAACTGTTCCACTCATCTCGGCTCAGCGCATACCCCTTCTACCTATCATTTGAGGGACTGTCCACTCATTATCTTCACTCCATCCAAAGCTGTCAAGAACACAGAAAAGATGGACATTTCTAGTCAGTTTACCATTTCGAAGTCCCACGGTAAACTCCACCGAAAGAGATCGAAGCCAGTTACGCAATACCCTGCACCAATGCGACATGACTTGACTGAGAATTGGCAGAGGCAACGGAGGGCCTCATCATTCCTGGAACATCCCGAGATGACCGAGCTCCTCCGTATTAGCGGACCGTACAACCCTATCTCCACCCCTCTCTGAAAAGGTCACACTGGCTGACACGATCCCAGAGAAGAGCTAAGCGCAGTGAACAACTGCAAGTTACTGCACCAACGAACCCATGCTTCCCCACCACTGGACGAGGGGCACCCCTGACCATACCCTTGAACAATAAAGTGAGGGTGGGTTCACGAGGGGACGTGAGTGTGCGACGCAACATTCCAGACACCCATGCCAGCCGGAGGGGGAGGTAAAGCGTGTACAATTGACAGACTGGCAGATAATGTGAACTGTGATCATAAAACGGCTGCTGAGAATGAGCTCAATTCACAGGAGCTGAGCCTCGCCATGGGGTACCATGGGGGTTGGGTGACGGTTTTGGGGAGACGAAGGGGGAAGGCCCGACCCAGTTAATGAGCACAATGAGATAATTGGTCCCTGTCGACGACCGCTACTGTTCCCCGATTCAATGGGTCCTGGCCGTCCCCTGAACTGCCGGTTCTCCCCACAGCTTGATATAGCCCGCCCCTGCACACCCTTCGAGCACGCGTGGGCGCATGAGGAAGGGAGCCCACGCGGCTGCCCCGCCCGCGAGAAACGGTGGCACGATAGTGTTTCATGAATCGAACTCAATGAAGTCATGAGCAGAAAAGCGCAACTGTTGTTCCCGTAGTTTGACTGACACTAGCAGAGTACGGCGAAACGGCATAACTGATAACTCGTACTTACAGGGAATGTCGTCATCTCATATACATACCGTCAGTAGGATTTCCTGGCGCATCATGTAGATGGAATACGGCATACGACTGACGGAATCAAAAGTGACAAAACGATCCCCTAAGACAATGCGAGTCGCCAATCACTGAGTGGATCGTGGCCAAATGCTTTAGCCGTTCGCGACAGCAGCGCCCACAGTGGAACTCAGCTTCAACGAAACAATCGCATCACACTTCAGTGCCCAGTGGAAACGATTCTCGTTATATTCGTTGCCCATTACTGTCACAAACAAAACCGAAGAATACCGATAATCAAGGTATATGGCACTTAGCAAAGCTCTAAAGTATAAAGCTTAGTCTGTGACACCGCAGCCCAGAGCTCGGTCGCTGGCCTGTGGCTGTCGGTTTCGGGGCAGACCGTCAGGCGGGACCGTACTTGCCCCCGACGAGCAGTTGTATGGCCGCGGCAGGAGCCGATGACGCAGAAAGAGAGCCCGTCTAAGAGAGGGTAACGCATAGTCCGGTGTTCGGTTGTGTTGGGACTTACGTTAAAAAGGTTCGATTCGGGTCTGAGTTGGAGTCGGAGCGACCACTTCATGCATTATCAAGGAAGCTCAGGACCGACCCTGTTCTATTTCGGTGACACTATAGGAGACAGCATCACCCAGTTTGGGTTCATTTAGAGACTAAGACCACCTCTCTCGGGAGAAAAACGAAAACCGTATCATTCTGTTCCGTGTTGTGAATCATCAGTGACCATTTGTCACACAGATGTTCCCTCGGCTCGGGTGCCAGTCGTTCTTGCAGAATGCACTAACTGGTGCAGATATTCACCACAAAAAGGCCAGCCGACCTGAATCACGCGCGCTGCGGGAACTGCTGCTGAGTGATGAGTCACCCAGGCGACGAAAGCGAAAGGCGCGCGTGAAAACCCGTCACATCTGGAGGCGTAGGGGGCGAGTTTTACAGGAGCCTATGGGTCCAATTGACATCTTCTAGCTTCATTGTAGATCATAGCCGTGTTACAGCAACAACGGATCTTGTTTCGGAATGCCACTTATCACAACTATGTAGATCGCAACAAATCACCTCAAATTAGGAAATGACCGAAACGTATACAAACTTTCGGACGCCATAACATACAGTCTTAGCTACTATAGTGTCAAACGCATCCTTGGTTTTTGGAAGCCTGATCAGTGACCATCTCTTCGTTGTCTTCAGCTTTGTCAGTAAAGCTGTCCCGACACGTGGCGCATTGGCACAATCGAGCCCAAATATCACAGTCATGTCAACAAACACCCCGTCGCCAACGCGTGTCGCCGCGGTGGACAGATTCTCCCGACAGTCACGGACAGATGCGAGCCGTCACGTCATCACCGTGTGTTCGTGTACCATCCTGACGTGTCCGGCGCCCATCAGAGTACCGCCGCCGCCTCCGGGTAGGCCCAGGGAGCCGCCACCTCAGAGAGGCTCAGACAGGGCGGACGGTGGGCCTCTGGCTCCCTCCCGCGCCGGTGGTAGCTCATCCGCACACGGCGCGTCACTGGACTGATGAAACCAGCGCGTCAGCACGAATCAGCCACCTACTCTCAAACAGAGGGCTGGAAAGGCAGGGACGGGAGAAGCGTAAAGTAACATCGGGCGGCGTCGAGTTTCGATCTACCTCGTGCGCAATGCGCATTATCTCCAGACAGGTATCGAATTTTGGTAGTGGTGGCCACTCAGGCCATGGAGCACTTATCACCTGAGTGTATAGTGAGTAAGCGCCGATTTAAATAGCCATGGCGTGTGACGTGTTCACTATCCAGTTTCAGACCTCCTCTAGGAGACTTTGTCGAAACATAACACCTCCGAAATGTCGTCTCGGCTTTCACACGTGATGGTGAGTGTAGGGGACTTTGACCGGCGTTGGGGGACCTATGACCCCGCGGAAATCGGACACGGTTCCGGGCCCACCTCAATCACCGACAAAGGCTCAAAGCAGCAAATGGGACCGGCATACCACAGCGTCCGCCGTTTGGCAGTACGGTTCAATGAAACAAAGTGCGATGGACGTCACGCTTCCTCGCTAAAACGTACCACAAGAGCTGTTATGTAACACATGCTTTGGAGTGCGTATACTCGTACTAAGACGAGGATGAAATGCATAAACGCAATTACGCATCATCACGGTCGTAACCATATCATATCATGCCAAACATACGCATCTCAAGCTGTCAGATATGAATGACGTTTATCTGGGATCCAGCTACGTTGGATCAGAAATATTCCCAGCAAGTCGCAACTCGCTTCTCTTTTTCCTCGGTGCACAGAGGAGAGAAGGGCCGGGTAGCGCGTGATAGGCCGCTCCACCGACGGAGGGGAACACCCAGTGGCCTGCTCAGCAGGGCTGCAGCCGCCGCAGATCTGACAAACAGGAACTCCCGGGAGCCAGCTGTGCCTGTCACGGGATCAGACCCCCCCCCAGCGGTGGGGTCACGGGGTCGGACCCCCCCCCCCCCATCGGCCGGAGTCACGGGGTCGGACCCCCCCCCCCCCAGCAGCAGAGGTCATGCCGTGTCGATTGTCGGGTCACGGGACGCTGAGGCCGATAGCCGCCACGTCATCGGACCCTGCGGATGGGGCCGCTCGGTTTTGTGCCCGCATTGGACCGGCCATGCCGGTAGTGAAACGGGGCCGAACTACGGAGCACCCCACCTAACCGCTCTCACGCCCGCACATCAGGAACACATCCGTACGGAACCACCAGCTCGTCCCCGGCGCCCATGGAGAGGGATGGGGGCTGGCCTGGCTACGTCGGCAGGCAGTCGGTGCCACCGACCCGGCCAGGGCCGATGGCAGTGAGTAGCTCCATGCAGTCTGAACTCTGATGGACCCGGAGCCGACAAGCACCGCCGGACATCAGATACGCCACTGAGACGGCTGGGATATGACACATCTACATGTGCTGATACTTGACATACCTATCCCCGGCGACCCACAGGGGATACGTCAGTCTCAATCTGACACCGAGACGGCTGACATATGACACATCCCCGCCCGGCAGGTCAGCGCCCCGGCCGGCACAGCACGTGATCCCCCCCCCCGCCGTGACTCAGCGTCACGTTGTCCGTAACGTCACGTGACAGTGACGTCAATTGCCGACCGCGGTAAGCCAGCCGTGGTTCGCTGAACTGATACAGAGCACGCCGCATAAACTGAATAACACCCATCCACGGAAACTGACGAGCTTGGAGCTTCCCACCGGACTTGACTCGGAGGAACTGTTGGCTTATATAGCTGGCACGATAGGTATTCAGAATTGGTAATACGAAGCTAGCCCAAAGCAAAAATCTACTACGCTTTCCGATTTCTTGATAAAACTGCTACTGGGCAACCCAAACAGTGTGGTACGCATACTCTTTTTTAAACAAAGTCTGCGTCTGATAATATTGTCACGATAATAGATAATAACCGTCATCTATTGCCTTAATGGCCGCTATTTCCCACAAGCAAAAAAAAAGATGTCAAGCTAGAAATTGATAATGTGTCGGCTTCTCAATGATGTGTTACCTTTTGCAATCCATGGTCGTTTCTCAGACCAGGTTCATTCACAAGCAAACAGAAGCTCACAACGTAGATGCCTGACAGCCAGTTTACTGGGCGGCTTTGTCTGTTTTCAATCAACAGTCGGTTCCCAAACATAGCCGCCTTCTCATCTCAGCTTGGATACGTTACTGATATTCATCACAGACCAACTGAGAACATCGGACTACTGACAGGCAGCGTTGACGAATTTCAGTGGCAGATCCAGGGGGTGGGGCAAAATGGGCATTTGCCCCTCCCAAACGCCATAATTTTAACATGACGCCTATGGACGAGGCATGGAAAGAATCGATAAATTGTTATGGTTTGCCCCCCCTCCCCCCCCAAAAAAAAACTCTGAGCTGGATCCGCCTCTGACGAATTTCACCCTTATCACGCTGCCGTGAGGGTGCAGCAAACATACCCGTAACCTGACACCAATGCTACACCTCGCCACTATGGCAGGCGAACACAAACAAGGAAAACTGTTCCACAACACTCCAAACGTTGAAAAGTATCGCTCGTAACCAGACGACACTGATTCACCCAAAACGCTAGGGTTCGATGTAACGCAAATAAACAGCCGTTGCTTTATAAAATGCCTCCTGATATCATTTTGAAATTTGTGCGCATTCACCTGATTGGTTTATTTATTTTTAATTTGTCGTGATTTTATGACGACATAGTTTGTCTGACATTTCTCATTGAGCCCCGTTAGGTGAAGCAGTACCTACGGGTTGTTACTACTTTGGCAATTCCATTTTCAGAAAACTTAGTTCTGCACAATTACATGCGAAACTGCCAAAAATTGGCATGCTTGTTGCAAAATTTATAGACTCAAAAGCTAAAAACGTGGAAACGGGCTTCGTCACGTCGTCCACGGACCACGGCTGACTCGTTAAATGCAAATAGTTATAAGTCTAAGTTGGGGATGAAGTTGCGGGGAATAAGGGGAAGCTGGGGAAGGATAATGAATAACAATTTACCGATAGGTGGTTATCGTCACACTTCTAACTTTCAAATAACAGCAGTATCTAAGCGAATCAAGCGTATCGAGGAATCATACGCATTGAGCCGTGTCGGGGTAAAAGTCGCAAGCGGCATGCACGGCGTCCAGGACGACCGGGTACTCACAATGTTGTTGAACTCCGGGTGCTCGTACGAGTGTCCGATGACGGCCGGGGTGCCGTCCTCCAGCGTGAAGTTACCCGAGATGTTTGTGAACGAGCGGCCGTGGTCGAGTGAGACGTACACGCTGCTCGGATGGCCGGGCCGCACCACCATGTCGCGGGTCAGACAGATGACCAGCTGAGAACCGCCGCCAGCCCAGTGGATCAGGCCCGAGTGGTGCGTGTCGTTCAGCTCCACCTGCGGCAGGCAGTGGTGCATGGTCAGATCGCTCAATATCAGGGCACCCAGAACTCAGCTGTCCTGCACTCATCCAGTGGAGCAGAGTGCAGTATGATTGCTCCAAATCCACTTGCTTAGACCTCTGGCAAGCCCTTAAATATTTAAATAGTCTAGCCCATCATATGATCAGACAAAAAAAAGTTTATGGTATAAAATTGTAAAAGTAAACGTAATAGTAACTACCCACTATTCTACAACAAATCAAAACATGTTGGTTTAAGTAAAATCAATATTTTCATGATTATTGCCCCTTCATTCAACCTTCAGAGTAACTAAAAAAAGACAAATGTCAAGAATACAAATGTGCAATATACTTCTTTCGTAGCTTGTATACCCACCACAGAAGTGATGTTGTCATCAGCAGTAGGAATGGCATGCTCAGGATGTTCTGGAAGAGTACTCCGTTTCCGCAGAATGTGGGACGACTCGTCCATACTAAAATACTGTTCTTTGCCACACACAAAATACACGCTGCTTGACATCAGCGCAAAGCACAAAAAGAGATAAACTCTTTCCATGTTGTGTTTTGCTTTGAAGCTTGTACATGCAAGCAGAGTCCTCAGGGAGAATGCGTTTTCAATGTATCACTTGGACAGGTGAATTTTTTAATCAATTTTGATTTCACTTAAACACAATGGAAAAGGCACACTTCAAGTCTTCCGGTACCTAAAAACAAACAGGTTAAATGTCCTGTAACTGTCTACAAAAGAACAGTGGAGCCGGCACACCTCAAAACCGACATACAACGCAGATTACTGACACAACTTGCACCACCAATCTGCACAGCACACGGAACTCTCTGCCACTCTCCGCACAGTCAAAGCGGTGACAGTGCACACAAACTACGCTTCATTTCTTGTAATGCCCTCGACACTTATTACGTAACAGAATATGGAAAATAGTTCTAGCGAGTCAAGTCAGTTACTCATTGATAAGCATTTTAATAGCAAAATTTTACATTTTTGGGCTTTGATGCTTCGAACAATTTACAATAATTTTTAGCTATGGATAAAGTAGAAAAATGAAACGATATTTAGACAAAACACTTTTTTTTAAGATGAACAGCTCTTGACGTCATCAAATGTTTTAATTTTTCAAGTCAAATAAAAGCTGTTTATCATATTTGCTACATTTATGGCGCACACATGTTCAAAAGCATCATCTTTTGTTGATACTGCTTGCTCAGTTACGTAATCTGAGATTACGTTCATTTGAACCATGCGTCTAAAACTGTAATAAAGCCTTCATGCTATTGTTGTGGCATGAATTACAATTTGTTTTGATTTTCCTTTAAATTTTTAGCTTTTCATAGCCAAATACAACCCAGTAACAGCCTATTTGTCCATGATAATTTTTGGCAGTATTTTAAAGTTGGTCTACGTCATGCTTTCGGTCGCAGCATTATCAACCACAGAGCTATATTGTATTGTATTGTATTTGTATAGCGAATCACACCAAAAATCAAATATAAGGCTAAGACATAATTAGTACCATTTTGCAGAGTTTTCATGAATTAGATGGTTAGTTTCGCGTGTTTTGAATAAATAGTTATTTGAGGATTATTTTTACTGCTGCTCACCACGAGGCATTTGGCCTGGGTTTCAGGAGGTTAGCAAATTATAGCCATCAATAGGGGTCAGTAGATATTTTCAATATTATTTATTTGATTTCCAATTCCTTATCTGCCTACCTCACTCAATTAGAATCATTCGTCATCATTTTAATTTTATTGTTAATCTTATGTGACAGATTAGATTGTGAAGTGTCAATCAAAAAGTGTGTGTGGTGTGTCAAAGTGTCAAAGTGTCAAAGTGGTTTGGATTGTGGAATGGTTTACTTTATTCCACTTTATTCCTGTGCCAGACTGATATAAATATGTGTCCCTTTACCATTACAAGAACAAGTCAAATTGAAATGTAACTTGAGATGACACATTTGATCAATCATGCTCAGTCAGCATCTATATTTGAAAACGTTCTTACATTCACCTCCATCTTTCAGGATTTTAGGCATAGAAGTTAGAATTTAGAAGCTTGTGGCACCCATCATCCCATGCTTGTTCAGTATTAATTGAGCAGACATCACACAAAGGTTTTCCAATCAAGGAGAGGTGCTTTACACAGAGATGCTTCTTTCGAACCAAACCAAAACAAACCTAACCTTACCTGACCTACGACATGCAACCTACAAACCTACAGTGCCTCACTGGTTAGAAAACTTTTGTGTGACGGCTGCTCTACTAATTCTACTTGTTCTTGGTACTTTTTGCAATTCAATTACAAAGTGTTGTTTCTATACGTGGTTGCTGATGAGCTATGTGTGTCCAAAAATGTGTATGTAGTTAGATTGTATTGTCTCTTCAAAATATGTGTTAGTTTGTATAGTTTACTTGGGTTAGAAATTATGCTCAAGAGTCAAGCATTAATGTAAAATATGGCCTCTATTCAAAACAAATTCAATGTTACTAATTGCCAATCATGATTAGTAAGCTTTTAGTTATACAATCTGAGAAACATAGTTTAGGGAACCTTTGAAATGCATAGGGGAGGCCACTTGCAGAACAAAGAAATGATAGCAGAATGTTTTGCTTACATTTGAGGGTGATTTGAAGTGTGATCCCACCAGACACTAAATATGAACCATTAGATGCTAAAGAGTGCATCTTAAGTTATTGCTGTGATAATTTTGCAAGTGGGCCAGAATCTTGTCATCAGAAACCCCACTGTTATTTGGTCAATAAGCATGAGATGGCAGGATAGGTAGTTGTTGGGTGTGTGTATTAGTCAATATACATCCATGGTTACCAATTATAATTCTTGATATTGTTTTTTCAATTACCTTTTATTTGGTTTTGTTAATCCTCTGGCCACTGTATGCTCAAGGTGTTTTTCTCATGCCAGTTCCAGTTCTAGATATTTTTTGTTGTTGGTAAATGGTGAACACACATCCTGACCTAGATGTGAACTGTTGAGTTTTATTGCTGAGCCATGCTGCAGAATTTCTTTGCAGATTCAGTTAATGAGAGTAGGTACTAATTTAGGACATTAATCTACACAAATACCATTGTCTACCTGACTGATGTGTGTGTTCACAGCTGTCGGGCTCAGTGATGGGGGGCGCCACGCGCCTGTCAGGCCTGGCCTGGCTTCTGCTGCTGGCTGCGCTGCTGGCCGCTGGTCTGGCACAGCGGCCGGGCTCGGAGGAGCTGCGCCAGCAGTTCGGCTCCGGTGCTGAGGAGGCGGACGAGTCGGAGGACGCCGCTCCGCCGGCGGCCGCTCCCTCGTCCGCCGGCGGGATGGTGCTGGTCCGCTCGGAGCTGACTGTTGTGGACGAGGCGGAGTCCACCGGCGCGCGGCCCAAGGGCGCGGAGGGAGCGCCTCCTGCGCCGGAGACCGCTGAGCGGGCGGCGCGCGGCTCGCCGGGACGCCAGCCGGCCGGTGGTCAGTCCCCGGAGTCTCCGGAGCCGCTGGGTACCGGCACCGTCACCCGGCTGCCGCCTCCTGAGCAGCAGGGCCCGGCAGACGCCATACGGGAGGTGGAGGCACCCGATCTCTCTGGCCAGGAACCGCTGCTGAAGAGCATCGGCGACAGCTACTTCAAACCGAGCAGTCCGCCCAGCGACGCCGGCAAGGATGACGAGACCATGACAGAACAGGAGAGACAAGGTGAGTCGCTCTGCGGAACGTGTATTTACACACGTTTCTCCGCCTGCCACCGTACCCGTTTATATCACTACTTACAGACCTGCTGCTGTTAATGACAGCGACCCCTACCCTACTCGACTGCCCTGATCACCTTTAACAGCCACTTCCCCTCCTCTGTAGCGGAGGAACTGTACACCACTGGCGAGAAGCTGCTGTCGCGCTCGCGGCCGGACCGAGCGCGCAGTTATCAGCTGCTGGAGGAGGCAGCGCGGCTGGGGCACACTGCCGCCGCCGTCCGGCTGGCCTGGGCGCGCCTGCTCGGCTCCCACCTACCACAAGACGTGACCGCCGCCAAGGAGACGTTCGAGCGACTCTCGGCCCGTGGAAACCCCGAGGCGCAGATGGTGAGAGCGGTGGGAAACGGCGGTCTCGGGGGCAGGACGGTAGGAACTGGTGGACCCGAGCGGTGGCAGACAGTAGGCTTTGCTGGTGAGGCACGGAGCGCTTTGAAGTGGTTTGGTGTGGACTGCCGCGATTTCGGATTTGGGGAAGAGCGGTGGTCTCCGCTGACAAATGTAGTCATACATCGCTGATAAATGTAGTTATATAGTTGAGCAGTTATAGGTACCTTATCGATGTTTCAAAACCATGAGCTGATCGATTCTCAAGGTTTTTGAAAACTTTGTCCTCCTTATCTCTGTTATCGTCACCCGTGACCAGCCGCTCGCACCATCCCCATCTCCCCGCTCCCAGGCGATGGGCTTCATGTACGCGCTGGGTCTGGGCGTCAGCTCCAGTCAGGCCAAGGCGCTGCTGCACTACACGTTCGCTGCTCTGGGCGGCAGTTCGTGGGGCCAGATGGCGCTGGCTTACCGCCAGTTCTACGGCATCAATACGGCCTCCAGCTGCGAGGCGGCGCTCACTCACTACCGCAAGGTCTGCGGCTCAGGTCAGTGGGGTCAACGCACGGATTGTGGAATCTCGTGGGGTCACTGAGCAGGGCAGAACAGAGATCATGAATGTTAGATATGTCAGTAAGGCCTGCGTATTTAAGTTACATGATAATTCATATGGATGTACCGACGCTTTACCACGACTTACAAGGTCGCGGTAAAGCGTAACGTTGTGCAAGACAAGACTAAATGGAACTCGTGTTTGCAAACAAAGGCAGACGTAAGTAGCTACCTGTTGCGGTCAAGTGTGGGTAAATACCATGCTGATGTGCCAATAAACATGGTTTACCTGCAAAGTATCTGACGGTCTATACTCCATTCACGTGTTTGCTCTGTCCGTGATGGTCCTCCTCTGTTTCTCATTGGCGGTAACAGTGTGTTTATCCGTCCTCAGTGGCGGTAGCAGTGTATTTTTCCGTCCCCAGCAGTGTATTTATTTTATCCCAGTGGCGGACCAGGTGGCTCTGTTGGAAGTAACAGTGCATGTCCGTCTCCGGTGACGGTAACAGTGTATTTCTCCGTCCCCAGTGTCGGTAACAGTGTATTTCTCCGTCCCCAGTGTCGGTAACAGTATATACTGTATACCCTCGTCCACAGTCGCGATAAGAGTGTGTTTCTCTGTCCCCAGTGGCGTTAACAGTGTATTTATCTTATCTCAGTGGCAGACCAGGTGTCACTGTCGGGTGGCAGCACCGTGTCTCGTGTGCGGCTCTATGACGAGGCAGAGAGCACCGGCTCGTCGAGCTCCACCCTGGATGAGGACCTCATTCAGTACTACCAGTTCCTGGCTGACAAGGGAGACGTCCAGGCTCAGGTAGGTGTCGCGCCGACGGCCGGCGCTCTGTGCGCGCCGTCTGAGGTCGAAGGCTGCCCGTGGAATGGCACATCCCACGGTTTCGGGGTCCATGCACGTCATTGCACAGCCATCATGACACAAACCGGGGTCTATACTGGGTTAAATGTGTTATGACACAGTCACCATAAATTACGACTTTTAGCATTGTGCTCAGTCTTGGCGCCTGTCATTTGTCTCGCCTGTCCTCTGTCTTCCATCTCTCCTATCAGCCTCTTGTCTGTCCTGTCCTCACTCCTTTCTCTCTCTCCTGTCCTCCGTCTCATCTGGTCTCTGTCTCACCCATTCCCTGAGACTGACATAAGCCCCTCGGCCTCGGCGACAGGTGGGCCTGGGCCAGCTGCACTACCAGGGCGGCCGGGGTGTCGAGAGGGACCA